CAGTTGAGCTTCCCGTTTCGAACATACGATCCAGGGTTGCCGTACTAGCTGAGGAAAGGCGGACGACTACTCTGTCTAGGTATCCAACGCCTCTTTGAGAGGAGAACACCTTTGGAGCGAGGCACTGTTTCAGCACACTAAACGGCGAGTGACCCTGCAACAAAGCCATCATGCCGCATTCATGCTACCAGTCGGTCCTCACAGACCACCCTACAAAAGATTCCAAGAGGAAAAATACGGCAGCAGAAACAATCTCAAGGGGACAGGGAGTGCTTACAGAGACAGGCGGTACCGTTGGATATCGACACCCTCGGATCCACTTGTACGAGTAGCCAGCTCTGTAGCATGCACTGATCATTCTGAATCCCAAGAGCCTCAGAGAAGCGGGAAGCATTTTGGGATGACCGGCCACATTCACGCTCCTACCAAGCCTGTCAACAGACCAAAGTAGGGGTTCATATGTGCTATCAATGATGTCCAGCGGCTCAGTCAGAGCCTCCGTTAGCAACTTCGTCATCTTGATATTGTCCGCTACGCAAACAAGCAACAAAACAGTTAAAGACGAAGATATCACGGAAGTCTGCAACCTTTCTCCTAACGGGACGTGGTGCTTGAGGTGCTGCTACCGTCGCCTTACGCTCATCAGCGGAAGCCGCCTGCACTCTTGCAAATGCCGGGTACTGTGATGTGTCCTCGAGGGCAGTCTTGTAAAGGTGCGATAGTGACTCAGAGTGCAAATGCTCGTTGAAATCTGCCCCAAATACGACTCCCAGAGGGAAAGAGTCAAGTCCTGGAGGATGACAGAGGCAGTGCATATCGTAACAGCAAAGTAATTCTAAGCCTGATCTTGAGCCCCAAATAAAATGAAGCAGAGTGTGGATTAACTGCAAAATTACGTCCTGCATGATTCGACACAGAAGCTCTCTGGTGCTCCCGACTGACAATTTGGGGAGGAAGCCGCACGCGCTTTCGCGAGGCAGGATGCTGTCATGTGTCCTTAGGGGCTGTCCTATGAACCAGGCCTTAGCATTTAAGCACTAGCTCAGCGCATTCTTTATTCTTACCCAGTTCGGGGCTCCCACAATTCTTTAGGAGATCCGGAAAGATATGCTCAAATTGCTTTGCCTTCCATCCCTTCAGGTGAGCTCCCACAACGGCGAGCTTGCCCATGCTAGGAAAATCAAAAACGGCGCCTATGAACCCCTTTTCCCCCCCATGGATAGATTGTTCTGCGTTGCATACGTGCGTAGGCTGATGAGTTTCCCGCATTACGTAAATAAGGGTTTGTGTATTTGGAGTTAAAATAGTCTTAGCTTGTGTTCCTCTGATGTTGCCAAGGTAGGCAATCGATGGATAACCCCAATTAGCAGTGGTGCTAAGGAGGTTCAGCACAAACTGGAGATTTGTCAAGAACGATTTTTCCCTGCGGGAGTCCAGCTTCATGTTTTCCTGCAGCACTATTGTTACGACGTCCACTTCGTCGGCCTTAAAACCCTTTTCTTCGTTGAGAAAAGGGGCAAGCAACTGGAAAGTGTTGGGCTTGACCATGAGCGCATTCCTATAACAAGGCAAAGGATATAGGGGCGAGAGAGACTATGGACTGCCTAAGGCGAGTTGGAAGACTCAAGTTGTGAGGCTAAAAGTCAGCCTCGACGCACTCACCATTGTATGAAGGCTAGGCGTAGGCTCTTGTGCGGTCTGCTTTTCATATCTTCGCCCACTTTGCTCATCAGTTCCTTGTGTTCAGTCACAAACATGTTGTGTTCCTTGATGGAATCATCTATGGGACCAAAACAAGGAGGCTCGTCAAGCTTCATCCGACGAACGACCTCTTCTGGGCTGTAGATGCGCGCCATAGGATGCGCCCCGCAACTTTGCACGGGCATCTCATCTACAGGACCCAGTCCAAATCTACGCTGAGTTGAAGCGGCAGCTAACAGAGCAACTTTCGTTGGCCGGTTACTCAAAAATCTCTCGACTGGAAACCGCAACACAGAGAAATCGTCACCTCTGGCAAGTCAGCCAAAGAAACCCAATGCAACCTTTCAACCTTCCATGTTAAGGTATTTTGGGGTTTAAACGAGTGTGAAAGGCAATAACTAGACGCATAAAAGTGAAGACAATGAAGTCCGTGTTTACCTTCGGCTCCTGTGTCCTCCAGCATATCATTCTTCTCAGCAATCTGCGCGAACGGGTGCACCCCAGAAACAAAATAAATGCGAGAATGGACAGCAAGAAGCCTCTTGAACTGCAACCGCAAAACGTTTGGGGAGAGTGGAGTGTGTGTGTGTGTGTGTGCGTGTGTGTGTGTGTGTGTGTGTGTGTGTGTGTGA